GCTTCGCTCACCTGAGGGTCGAATTGATATTCGGATCGGTGACGGCCCGCGAATCTTTTGTGTGCATCTTTTTCTTCTCGTGTTGCTTTTCAGTAGTCTTTCAACATAACTACTTATCCCATCTTCACATCGAACAAAGGAATGGCGCTGACTGTCATAGAGCAACTCGCTAATTTTCACAAAGTCTTATACCGTGTCTTTGGGAATAGAAAGCCCACGCCAAGGGTAAATCTCATCATTTGCCTGTTTTTACGATATTAAAAATGTAAAAGTGAAGTATGCATGCTATTTTGAAGGGCGAATTGCTACGGCCCGAAATTCTCTTTTCTACCTTGTAATCCCAGAAAATGAAGACCCAACAGAACGCCGCGCGGGACTCCAACGCTAAATCGAGCAAATATATCTTATGCAAAATTGGTCCAAAAAAAATCGAAGTAACTCAGGTTCCTCCATTCTTGCTATACTACGGGCCTAGTTCAGGGCATGCTCACAGTAGATGTACCGTTTCTGTCACAGTAGCTGTGACCATTTCCGTCGCAGTGGCTGTGGTCGTAACGGTCTCCTTTTCGGTGACAGTTACAGTGACTGGCCCAGGTTCGGACGTAGCAACTTGATTATCGCTCAAGGTAGATGTTGACAGGCTATCGTCGTCGTTACCATCATCATCATTATCATCATCACCACCAGATCCAGCAGTAGTCGAAGTCTTCGGCACTGGGACAACAACTACTCCGGTAGGCGTAGTGTTTCTGTCAAAGCTGGTAGGAGGTGGCGGCGATTGAGGCGTTGCTGAACTAGTGATGATCTCAGTTGACGTCGGCGGAGACGACAAGAATGATGAGGAAACGAGGCTATTTGTTGACGTAACAGTGTTTGGAGAAGATTCTGAACTGGAAGGACGCGTCACAGTCGTGAACGTGGTGGCGGTAGAGCTGCTAGTAATGCTGGTTGCGCCTGTGGTTTCTGAAACAGAAGATTCGGTAGACGTCGGCGAGGCCTTCACGGAAGAGGTAACTGTCACAGGAGGTGACTGTATGCTGGAAGAGCTGGGTGTGGGATAGACTTCGGTTGTCCTGGTCACACTGGACGTGATTGTAACCCTGGTTGTAGTCTCCACGTCCGAGCTCTGTGTGGTCACGAACACTTCACTTGTCTGGGTCACAGTAGGCGTGACTATCACGGTGGTTACTGTGTCAGTGTCCGAGTTCGATGTCGAGTGAAGTTTACTTGTCTGGGTCACGGTAGGCGTGCTCGTGACAGTGACCAAAGACCCAGGGTCTGAACTGCTAGGAGATGGTGGAGTAGCAGTGGGGATCGACGATATAGTGGATGAAGCTTGGGAGGGGTCCTTTTTGAAGCAGCCGACCTGAACGCCGGCCACCGAATCCATTGGCGCAGCATAACAAGAAAACCCATCAGCACATTTAGTGATGTCAAAACTACCGGCACTAGAGCATTGGCCAATATTACCATGGATGCAAGCAATTTGACCGGTAACGCAGGCGGATTGCTCTGTTAACCCCGAAAAGAGCTCGTTATATGCTTTAGCTTGGGCGACATTGCTAGCATAGACGTCAGGTGATACGGTGGTGCTAGTTGGGGGGGCCGAAGTTATGACGGTGGGTATCGAAGGGTTCGGTGTCCCGGTAGGTGAGATGGAGTGCGATACAGATGTTGATTCCATGCTTGAAGTGGCTGAAATGGTAGCCAACGTACTACTTTCAGTCAAGCTGGTCAAAGATGAGCCAACTTCCAACGACGAACTAAAAATAGTTGGCGTCGACGTCACGCCGTCTGAACTGCTGACCTGACTAGCTGTCGCGCTGATTGGATTTCGTGTTTCCGATTCAATCGCACTTGAAGGAGGCGAAAATGGCGAAGCAGTAGTTGTAGGGCTCCTATCCGCGGGTATCGAAATAGACGCGCTACTCGTCACAATAGCAGTGGAATCGGAAATAGAAATAGTCGCAGATCCAATCTGTGACTCTGTTGATGAAAGTAATGTTGTCGCCGTCACCTCCGAACTGGGGATGGCCGGGTCTGGCGCTGTACTCAACCCGACGGTCACGGTTGAGGAAGGAAAAATGCTGACCACCGGGATAGCTGACGTTTCTCCAGGCGTTGGATCGGAACTGCTCTCTATCGAAGTGGATGATTGAGTAATAGATGTAGAGGAGCTGGTAGCTTGAGTAGAAGTAGAGTCCGAAGTCGTCGATTGCGAAGAAGAGCTTGGGGTTTGTGTAGAAGTAGAGCCCGAGTCTGTTGATTGCGAGGAAGAGCTTGGGGATTGAGTAGAAGTAGAGTCCGAAGCTGTTGATTGCGAAGAAGAGCTTGGGGATTGTGTAGAACTGGAGCCCAAGTCCGTCGAAGAATAGTAAGTAGATATAGAGACCAGATCTGTTGACTGCGAGGAAGAGCTTGGGGCTTGTGTAGAAGTAGAGCCCGAGTCTGTTAATTGTGAGGAAGAGCTTGGGGATGGAGTAGAAGTAGAGCCCAAATTTGTTGATTGCGAAGAATAATAAGAAGATGTTGATGTCGGGGTGGTAGTGAAAAGGGTAGATGAGATTGAGACAGACGATGGAGTGGATGAAGTTGTTAACTGTTGGGACGATGAAGTCAATGTTGGGTCATCCCCAGATGTTATCGACACAATGGAAGAAGTGGTTGACTCTTGTGTTGATGAGGTCGATGTTAAGTCATCTCCCGATGTCATGGGCACGGAGGATTGTGTCGCCAACGACGAGAGAGTAGTCGTCGAGTTGGTAAACCTCTTAGACACCCATGGTTGTCTGACCACGCCATATCGTCTGACTCTAGGTGATGTTAGGCAATTGTTCTTCTCGTGACTAGATTGACTGGGAGTGCCTAATACATACCTATCCCCTTGCCCCGGCGGTCCGGCCGCCAAAACCCCCGACAACCAAAGAAGGTCTAAGAATGCAAGTGATACGCGCATTGGTAAAATAAGAAAAAAATATTAATATTTCCGAAGAGTGAAGAGAAGGAACAAAATGTCGAAGAGAAAAAAACGAAGGTCGATTGAGAGAGTGGGGCTAGTTTCACGACTGGCAGGACACGGAGCAACAGCAGTCATTCATATCCCTCGAGAAGGCGATAAAGAGGCAGCAAGGGTAAAGAGATGCCAATTATTCAATCAAACCAGAATAATGACATCGATACCCTAGGACACAAGAGACAACAAATGTGCGGTAGTTACACGTGCAAGGATAAACAAAGGAAAATCCAATCTGAAAGGAAAACAACAACAACGAATGTTCTACAAGAAGCCGCCAGTGCCAGAATGAGAAACGTGTGACAGATGAGAGAGAGAGAGACAGAGAGACAGAGAGACAGAGAGACAGAGAGAGGGATAAAGAAGAGAAAATTGCAGGTACGAGAACGAAGTTATTCGGGGATCGACGGAGAACAGAACAGGTGAGAGAGTCTAGAGATGTCCAGCATCTTGTACATAATATTCACATGGACAAAGAAGATACCGAGCTACCCTTGAAACCGGGCAAGAATCCAGACGTTAAGCCGGCCCCATACGAAAACGTTCCAGGATTGCATAGAAAGTTGAGATCGGGGCCCATGGAGGGGGCTTTGCAGCTCGACTTGACCGTTCAGGTAGCCGGGGACTGACCAATCCAAGGGGCTACAAGAGCATAGATCCAGACTACGCCCATCACGTGGCAGGGTTCAGGGCCGTTGGGCCATCTGAACGACCGCATTATTGGAAAATAGGCACAGCGGCATTTCTACTGTATTCCGTACGAAGACTCCCAGGCCGACGGCTAAGCGCTGTCTGATGTTCAAGACGAGATGACGCACGAGATGGAGCACGAGATGGAGCACGAGATGGAGCAAGGGTTGTTGGTGTTTCGACGGGCTTCACTAAAGAGACGCGCGGTAAGATGCAATTGGTTGAGTCATTTTCTTTGTAGGCGCATCGCGGACGCCAAACCACCAATCGCTGACCCGGAGTCACGAAATCCGCGGCATTGGGCCGTTGCGCCATTGCGCTAGTCTGTCTCTGGAAGGATATGGATCCCAAGATATGTTCTGATTGGTTGGATATGACTACACTACCTGATATTCATACAGTACGGAATATGCATATCTTCAACAAGTACATATTCAAGCTAACTACGTATATTTTATGGAATATGCAGGTATAACAGTTGCCGTAGCACCAACAAAACAACACCTGGTAACCTCTTACCCTCTCCTATCACATGCAAGCAGCCAACAACCAACCTGATTCTCACGAAGTGACCGGTGAACAGATATATATTGATTACCTACTCACCGAGAACGAGATCAACCGACAGATTCTTCTGCTGTAAGCACGTTAAGAACATTATGCATGGTAAACGAAGTACCATTTATTTGAGTAACTGCAGACAGTCAAGGGGTCCGCGTTGCAGTTCCAGGTCGGCAACCCCATATCCTGGAATCCCAACGCAAGCCAACACTGAGAACCTACAAGGCTCAAACCATCCGATAGGTATGTGATACCAAATGGTGAACGACGAACCTATCTCTGTACCTATAGTATTTGTCAGCCAGTCTAACCTGGTCATCAAATCGGTACACAATATACCTGTAGGTATCACCTCCGCTATAATCTCTGTGGCCGTCACGCTCATGATGGGTGTAGGTACAAATCATTGTTGCGCTGCTACTACCCACCTTAACCCAGTACATATTCCGTACTGCATGAGACTTTTGCCCATGCATACCAATTGCCGAACCTTGGGTAAAATGTTCATTCGCCATTTCTCTGCTGCTTTCTGGCCGGTCCCATTCAACAAAAAGGTCATGAGAGTACCTAGCACACTACTATTTACCTATGATGCAATAGGTACTTGTATAAATAGGCTAGGCTACCAAGTATGGAGTACGGATCCGTAGTGTCCGCCCACATGGTGTGTGTTGCGTTGAAAGGGAAAGGGAAAAAAAAGATCGGCGGGTGGAGTTTTGAGCACCCGGAAAAAAGCTGGACGAACGGGGAATTGAACCCCGGACCCTTCGCAGACATTGATGATTCTGAATTACTCCAGACAATGCAAAGCGAATATCATACCCCTAGACCATTCGCCCTTGTACTTTGATGTCGAATTGTCTTCGGATTGTGATTCATCTGGCTGAATCCCAGAGAGTTGCAGGAGTAGGTATCGCATAACCATTTTTTTCCCCTTCTTAACACCCCCCAAGCGCAGTAAATATAATGAGTATCAAGAAGCACGTTCGCAGATACCTAAAATTCGATTACATTGAACTGAAAATATGGTACACCATCTTTATGAGTAAATTCACCGGTACCTCCGAAGGCCATGCGGTGTGTTTTTACCTAGGTAGCTTGCGACAAGCAATGTGCAACAAGCAATGTGCAACCAGAGACATGTCAGCATCAAGACATCACGGTTCAGTAAAGACAAAGAAGTAATGAGAGCATTCATTCATTCATTCATTCATCGATCTATAAATAGCAACTTTTGCATGAAAGAACTCTCAAATTAGCACATCCCAGCTCATCAGCGCCAGAAAGAAAGGAGCCGCTGGAACCATCGAACGCAACAAGCCGTTCCTCTACTCCACGACCTTGCGCGCGGCAAGATTATACCTATCGCCTGCCCTCAAGAAATAGAATACCTGGTTATGAGGCGGCAGAACCTTCCCCTCAGTCCCCTCCCGACTCCAAAACCCGCCATCATAAAACGCGCAATAACTGGCGCCGATGACGTGCGCATCATCGCCCTCCACAACCAGCGCCGTGTTCTCATCGCATCCGAAGCCCAGGAGCTCAGGCTTGACCTTGAGGATCTGGAACATGTCGAAGATGCGGCCGCGCACCAGCACGTGCTGATCGATGGCCACGTTCCGCAGGTATCCGAACCCGACCGTGTGGTCGCCGACAACGATGTGATTCGACGCCGTGTCGCCGCGCGTAAGGAAGCTTCCCTGGATACTGGCGCCCGCCGAACTGCCGCCGATGACGCCGCCCCTATCCAGCACGGCGCGGAACGCGGCCTCGGTCTTGGTGCCCGCGTACGCGTCCACGAGACGCCACTGCCTGCCGCCGTCGAACCAGACACCCGAGGCTTTGCGCAGCGGCGCGATGAATTCCTGCGTGTCCGCCACCTTGGGGTCGTATGTGTGAAGCACAGTGACGCTTGACGCGCCTAGACGCCGGAAGACCGGCGCGCTGGTCGCGTTCTGGCCGTAGCTTGCCGCTCCATCTGCCGTGGGGATCACGACTATCGGACCGCCTGCTGCCCGCTTGATGACCTCTTCGTAGATGGAGTCGTCGAGAGTCCCTCCGCCGACAACCACCAGAGACCCTTTATTTGGTCCCACGATGGAGCGTTTGGGGCATCCCATCACGAACTGGGAGCCAAGGACTAGGAGGGCCGAGAGTTTGGCGGTAGAGATGCGCATTGTTGGGCTGGTTGGCTTGTATGCGAATATAACAAGGTTTATATATCCTAACAAATATCTTGCAACAACGGTAGGTAGATGAGTAGGCGGACGTAGGATATGTGGTAATGATATGTAGCAGCACCTGGAATGAGATCCAACTCATCCATCTCTCACGTTCTTCACGTCGGCATATCCCCTTTATACACAGCGCAGTTGGGAAAAAATGCGATGTGCGCCCCCACGCAATGTATCGTGTTAAATAGCATCATCACAGCTAACGATAGCTAATCATTGCGATGGATCCGTCATGGCCGCCCTCTGGTTTCCAGGCAAGGCAGGTGCTGCGCAGATAGCCATTTTTGCCGGTTCTAGCAAGCGGGCTCATATGTACGTGTGCGTTCTTGGCAGCGATAGACAGAGATATGAAGATGTCGAATGCGCCATCTCTAACTAAAATAACGAATACTAAAGCGCTCTCGATCCAAGCGGCCGAGCGGTCAAAGATTTGCGGGGCTTAAGACTTGCTATTGAGGTTCGATTCTGCTCGCTGGACTCGATGGAGGGGGATCTGGCAGGAATAGGGTAGATATCAGAAAAGTCGGGTTCAGCCTGTCATTTCGAAGCTGTCGACCTGCCTCCTGCTCTACCCTGGCTATGGTCTTATCACCCCTCGCTCTGGGCACTTACATAATGACGCTACCCTACGACGTGTTGACAGGCTAAACAGGGAGCAATCATCGCGAAGGAGGAGGACAATCACCTCATCACAGCCCAAATTAGGTGTGCGTGGGTGAGACGCAATGACTAAGAAGTCGGAACCGCCATTTTTCATTAAGAGCACGCTAGGTAATGCCGCACCGCAAGATCGAGCTTTTCACAAAGCAAACAAGTATATACACTTGCAGTGTATAGGTCAAGGCAGGGTGAAAGCAGCAGCCGAGAAAATCGACGTCTTGTCTGTTTGTACTAGAACGTGGCATAGTATGTACATAGGCCGCCAGTGTCCAGAATTTGCGTAGCTTTCTTACAGTGTAAACGGGTTTATGATGCCGATCGCCCTTTATCGCTTCTTCCCCATGAAGGAACCCTCAAAGCCAGCTCGACTCTTGGTTTTCTTAAGACCCTTCTTTCTGCCGGCTTTACCTAGGAGTTTTTCGTCGCGTCTTTTTCTCAGGTTGTCTTCTCTTTTCTTTTGTCGGTCCTTAATGCTCTTCGCGACGCCCTCCTTTCTGGCCGCCCATTCTTTAGAGCTCTTCTTCTTGATGCTTTCCTTGCGTTTGACGGCCTTTTTCAGCAACTTCTCATCGTCCTTAATCTTTTCCCCTTCAGCTCTTCTCCTAGCAGTAAGCCATGCCTCTTTTTCTTCGATGTCCTTCCGCTTATCTGCATCCATCGCCTCCAGTCGTTTCTTCTGGCTCTCGAACTTCAGAAGTGCCGTCTTAGGATCGGATGGACCCTTCTTTGGCGTTCTATTGAGAACGTGTGTAAGATCATGAGATAGCTGGGACCCATCATCGAATCCGACACGGCCAAAGGCGAAGTTGTGTTCTTCAACATCGACATTTGGGCTGAGAATACCTCCTGGCGACTCTCGCGCCGACGCTAGCGCTTCCTCACGTTTCCGTTCTTCTTCCAGCTTAGCTTGTCGCCTTAGTTCCTTCTTATGGGCCTTGCGCTCGGCTTGCTTTTGACGGCGAGATTCTAAGAGCTCTTCCCGGGTACGTATTGGTTTCCCGTCCTTGTCAGCTTTACGGGCATCTCGAAGAGATTGGATTTTGGCGGCTAGACGAGCGCGTAGAGCGGCACTATCTGCGGGTACCTTTATCTGTTTTGGTTTCTCGGACGTCGGGTCAGCGGAGGAAACAGACGTTGTTATACTAGGGGCCTGGCTGGTAGATTCCGCGGGCATATCGTTCGCATCAAAGACGGGGGATCGCGGCGTGTCAGTGGGGGAAGTTGCAGAGTCGGGTTCGTGGGTTTCGTCAGCAGTATTTGCATGGGCCTCTTCATCCCCCCTGATGGGCTCCAGCGCGAGCTCAGACTGTACCACATCGCCGTTCTGTAGAGTATTCGACCTGTCCTGTCGCTTGCCAAGTTTGATCTTGTTGACACCCTTAATACTTCTCCGGTTGAACTCAGCTTCCTCTTCCCGCAGACGTTGACGTTCCGCTTTGCGCTCCTTTCGCGCTTCTTTCTTCTCTTCTTTTCGCCTTTCCTTCTCGGTCAACTCAGCTTCTTCGGCGTCCTGCTTCTGTTTCTTTTTTGAATCCTTGGGAGTCCTCTGCTTCATGCCTTGACGGGGCCGTTCCGACTCAATACCCTCAACTTCTGACCAGTCTTCATCGCCGTCTTGCATCTGATCATGCTTCCGCTTTTTCCTCGCTTGCTCATCCATGACTTCCTTGGCACTCCGATTTAATGCGCTATCAGGGTCGAGTTTGTTCCGTCTCGCTTCAGCGGCTTGTGCTTTAGTCTGCTTTTTCCGTTGCCACTGGTCCTGTAAAAGTGAAAGTTTATTTATTAAGTGGATGACTCGCGAGCGGTTGGATCACGACAGCGACAACATGTAAGGAATATGACAGTAGCAACAGGCTGTAATCCAAGACGTGAACAGAGGATTGACATACACTTGGATCCTCGCCATAGTACATCTTGGCGGGAATGAGCGACAGCAGGCCATCAAAGGCCTTCTGAGAATTGAGAAGACGCTCCTACAACGGCCAAGTTAGTTATAGAATGTCTCCACCATGAATTTTTACCAGCACGCGACAATTCATATGGCAAACTGGTAGGCAGACAGGCTGGCACAAACCTTGAGCGAAGAGTCCTCCATCGCGAGTATATACAGCGCACAGCCTAGTAAGAACACAATGACTTCAATATTCTATCTGGCGCTGGAAAGCGAGAGTGAGAGTGACCGGTGTTTGTGCAGGCTAGAAGTCGAGAAATTAATATCAACAGCTAGAGGCAGGAAAAAAACATCATGCAGCATATTGAGTGGGCTGGGCGGGTTGACGGGGGCAACTTGATTGGTGGTGGTGGAGTTGATCCTAATGAGGTGAATTGATTTTTTTGTCAGCTGTTATTTTTTAGTGCAGAGCAAGTTCGCTTCCCTAGTTTGTACATGATAAATAGCTGACAGCTGGTTGTCAGCCGTCTCTACAGGCATACGTCCGTCCCCCTGGAGTAGGTATCCACTGTGTTTAATCTCGTCTCATTAATATTTACACACAGCAGCATTCACGAATACCTGGAACATGATTGTGGTAAAACAGAAATGAGAGGTAACATTGTATTCATGAGAAGTTATATTAAAACTGGCGGGTGCTGTCATGAAGAACAGCCCGCTCAGTTTAGAATTTCATTCACGGTTTTCTCCTTCAAATCGTTTAATCGCCCTGACAATGCTCATCTTTATCTTTCTCATCTTCCTCCCGCGTGACCAAGTCTTGCTCAGCTCCGTTGGCACCAGTTTCGTCTTCTAAGAGATTTTCTGGACCGTTTGCCGGATCGGCAGCTTGAGCAGTGGTCTTCATCCTGAGTGGTTCCGGCACCACCATCCCCAGGAAGATCTTCATGACGACCATAGCCGCTAACTTCGACTCCAGACGAAACGGGACGTTCGTCCCATTAATAAGACATTGACGATATTCCTCGAGATCTGCCGGCAGCCTGTACGT